TTTTTTTTACATTGACGTTGTACCCTTGTGATATTTCAAAGTGACATAAATTTTACTTATTGGTCAACCTCCTGGGAGGCCTAATATACAACTATACAAAGACGACTGGCCTGCACGCTTGCCAGCAAAAACAACGCTAATCTCACATGTAAAAATCTAACCTGTTCCCCGCCCTCTTCCTGCATAACACTTGCAGACATTTAATAGCTTTTTTTTTTTTAAATCTCTTGTATTTTATTTTTACTCTCCATGCACACACCAGACTGACAACATTATCATGAGCATTTTTAAAAACATCTTGTGCCAGTAGTAACGAAGGGAAAGAAATGAACAACAAAGCAAACACGCTGAAACGGTGCGGCTTCAGAGCAGCCATGGTAAACATATTGAAAAGAGGATCTTTCCACAGAGAGGGGGGGGGACCAGTAATGCGGCTCCGAGGTCTAGGCACCAGAAGAAGGCCCTGTGCTTCCAGACTGAGCACCCCGTCCCCCACGCACGGCGGGGACGGGAATGCCAGCAGTCTGTTGGGGTTCTGGAGGAGGCCACTGCAGGGAGCGCAGCGCCGCCTGCAGGAGCGGAGGGTGATTACCTCTTGTCTCGAGTCCATACATTCCGATGCTTTACATACATTTCTTTGCTATTGTTGATTCGGTTAAAAGCCACCCTGCTTCGTTTGGATTCTCTGGTACTGTCTGGACAGCTGCTGCACGGCTTCTTCAGCACACACAGAGAAAACACAGAGACTTTTCCTCGAATGGACATGAAACACTGAAACGCGACGCTCCCTACGACAGACAAAATTAACCGCGGCAGGAGTGATTGTCAGATTTCAACAAAGCTTTCTCGTGTTTCTGATTGTTGTTGTTGTTCTACATTTCTGCCGTTAGTATTTCATTTCTCTCCGAGTTTTAGTTTGAGTTTTTTCTCGGTGGCGTAGAGCTGTTTGTCCACTAAGATCGGACCCCGGGCGGTCCGGACGAGCTGTCGAGAGACGACTGGGAAGCTCGTCGCGTCAGGGAGGCAAGTGTCGGATCCACCAGAGAGGATGGTGGGAACAGCTTGTACCAACCGATGACTGTGCTTGATAAGTCCAGCTCCTCCAATAAGATTTGTGCAACTCCCATGAAGCTTTTATGGTCCATGCGGCCATAGTCTCCCCATACAATCACCTGAAGGAAAAAATAATTTCACGTTGTCATGTTGCTCGATTTCCGTCAGCATGAAGTAGAAGGGGGGGGGAAGCATTTAACTTTGTGATGAAGGGAAATAAATCTCCTGCTCACCTGTAACACTTTCCCCTGCGGGCTCTCCTCAAATAGCAGTGCTTGCTGGTAGAGTGGGTCAAGTGTTTTCCGTGCAATCTTGGTTTTCTTTTTGGCTACGTACGCTCCATTATTCAGCAGGTAGACTTTGACATATGGAGCTGACGGCAGAAACAGAGCAATAAAAAAAGCCATTAGTGGGAACACTATCGGCTCGCACGGCTGGTTGTACGAACGCAAAGAACAGGTGAGCTTGAGTCGAGTGTATATACTGGATTATAATAACGTGTGTGAGTGCTGCAGGGATTCATTGGTCTGTAGCGGCTTCAGTCAGGTTGGGCTCTTACCAGGGAGAGATTTGGATCCTGGCTTCTGTACGAGTCCTCGTGCTCTGATCACCTCCACCTCCAGCTGACCCTTTTTCTCCATCATACCGATCTGGATATCACCTAAAAAACACAGCACAAAAAATAAGAAAACACAGAGCTCAACACCAACATCTACTACTGACAGGAGCGCAGACAGGTAACACTCTGAGCCTCGCACAATTTAATCAATCATCATCAACAATAACAGTAAAAAAGAACAAGATTAAGTAAAAATAATCATAAGAAAGAATAAAAATATAAAATGAATAGTTATAAGAACATGAAAAGAGTCTCTCTTCCTCCCTCCCTATGTGCTGAACATGATCTAGAGGGGTGTGAATGCACCGCAGTTTCTCCAAATTGAACACGATGTTCAAACATGAGGGTGTCCAAAAGTCCACGTGGCACCAGGACCCCCTGCGTCGCAGGTGTCACGATCCTGGGTCTTATGACCCAGTGTTTTGGGTTTAGTTTATTTGGATGTTTATATGATTAAGCTCATGAGTTTTTCTAGTTCTTTGTTATCAGATTCCCCCTGTGTCTTCCAACCCCTGTTAAGTCTCCCCTGCTCTTCATGTGTTTCATGTCTGCGTCTCATTATGTTTCCTATTTTATTTTGAAGAGATCTTGTGTTTTTATATTATGGATTATGTTTTGAGTCCTTTGTTGTACTGTTTCTTGTTTCCCTAGATTTCAGTTATGGTTATCATAGGTTTAGTTCTTTGGCTTTGTAATATAGCTTCCCTGTGTTCAATGTTGTGTCTACTGTGACCTTTCTGTACCATGTTTTTGGTCCCTATGTTCTGTCTTCTCAGTTGCTGTTAAGTTTGCATGTTTAGAGTTCAGTCAGTGTGTTTCCTGTTTTACTTTGAAGGTCCACGTCTCATGTGAGTGTTTCTAGTTTTGCTTCCCTTGTCTCGTCCAGCCTGATTACTCCCAGCTGTGCTCTCCTTCCTTTCCATGCCATTCTGCAATAAAGCAGCTTTTAGAAGTTTAATTTCGTTGTTGTGAGTTTTGTGTTTGGGTCCTTCTCCTGCCTGTACGCAGCCGAAACATGACAGCAGGTCAGTGATTCATTTTTGTACTTCACCACCTGTTGGTGAGTTGCATCAGGTGACAATGGAAGATGTTGGACAGTGAGGGTGAACTTGGCAAAGGCCAGAGTGTCAAGCTCTTCAGCTCCCACTTTGAGCAACACTTTAACAGCATTCTGTGGAAAGCGGACCCTAGTGTGGCGGTAATCCCTGAATCAGATGAACACCAGAGGTTAAAGGAGCCATCAAGCTGTGGGAGGGATTCTATCAAGCATGGTGAGCTCGTGGGACAGCAGAGGCCGCTGACAGGTCAAGGCCAAGTGGATTGCAGCTCTTGCAGTACCAAAATACTCAGGTGTGGGAGGAGCTCAGCGAGGCCATTGAGCAGGACTTTTAGTCGACCTTGAAGCAAGTCCGGTAAATCGTCAGGTGACTCGAGTGGCGTGGACAGCTCCCTGCAAACACTTTTTATAGCAGGGATGCAACTCTGCTGACCTCAACTCAGGACATAGTTTGGTGGTGTGAGGAATACCAAGGATCTTCTCAGCCCCACTGACAGACCTTCTGCAGTGGACACAGTCATCAGTCACTGGAGGCAGCATCACTGAGGTAGTTTATCCCTTCCTTAGTGGCAGAGCCCATGGAGTGAATGAGATTTTCCCTGAATTTCTCAAGGCTATGTGTCCCGAGGATCTCGTGCTTGATTTTCGTAGATGATGTAGCTCCGCTGGCTTTATCAAGCAGTGACCTCCAACTTGCACTGGGGCAGTATGTGGCCCAGTGTGAAATGAACCACGACATGCTGGAAAGATCACATTTCTTGGCTGACTCGGGAACGTCTTCCCACCTGAAGAAGTGGAGGAGAGGCTGGGAAGATGGAAGACTGGGATTGGCTGCTTAGATTGATGCCTCACGACCAAGAGAAGAGGATGAATGGCACAATCAACATTTAAAATAAAATACCAGAAATATCCAAAATATCTCAGAGAAATGCATGCTAGAAAAACTCAAGACACACAAAAATACAAAGTAAAGTAGCAAAAACATTACAATACTAATGATTTCTGATTCATTGTTAAAGGCAAAAAAAAGCTTTACAAGATCTATCCATGCATGCACAAATAAAGCTTTAAAAAATACCCCGAATAATTCAAAAGAAGAGAGAAGAGGTTTTGTACCGATGGCAGGAGTAGCCAGTGTTTGTCTTCCCACTAACTGAGCTGGTCCGAGTCCATCCAGGAAGTCACTGAATTGACTGCTGGCACCTAGATTCACTCCAGAAAAGATCAAGCTACCACAGAAAACACAAAACAGCCCATTATTAACTCTAAAAAACACCAACCTATATACAAATGTGTCATCAGTCTTGCTGATGGCCCCACTCAGTCAGCACATGTGGAGGATTCACTTTGCTGCCTCCAGGAGAATTTCACCTGCACTCATTATTTATAACAAGAAAAAATATCTACGTGATTGTCCGAGCGACAGAAAACACCCGGTCTTACTTTGACTCTGTCTGAGTTTTGGTTTGATCGTCGCCTCACGCTCTCCACGCTGACTCATTTTTAAACCATGTGCTCGTTATATTAGACTGTGTTTACTCTCAGTCGGCCAACGCATACAGAAATAGCCGCAGGCAGGAATGGATGTCTCCCTCAGAACATGCTGACATGCAGTCATTACTGTCACTCTAACTCGTTTCATTCAGGACGTCTTTGTGACACAGAGAGTGCAGATGACGAGGAGCAGAAGGACGGGTTTACTGACTTCCCCTCGGAGTTGCAGCTGTTCATGCTGCCGTTGTTGGACTCTCTGCTGGGCTGCCGGCTCATGTTCCTCGTCAGCTCCACGGCCATGCCGGTCTCCGTGCTCCTCTGGATGGACGCTCCTTTCTCCTTCTTACTCTTCCCCTCTGGAGGTAAACGAGAGCGAGAGGAAGAATCATCAAGCAGACAATATTTTGATAACAGACTCCAGTGAAGGAACGGCTCTTTTCTTTAAAACTGATACCACAGGAAAGTTGTTCGGCTGAAGCTACAGATACTTACAACAATTAGAAGTGATTTATAATTAAAACATGAACAAAGCAGAGGATATTTTTATCTATATGGCACCACTGCACGTTTTATATTGTTCATGTTTGCATTTGCAGATGGCCCCGCCCCTCTCTGAGCTTGGTTCTGTTGGAGGTCTCTTCCTGTTAAAAGGGAGTTCTTCCTTCCCGCTGTTGCCACGTGTTGCTCATATGGGGACATTTGATCATATTTGTTTCTATAA